TCTGACAGGACCTGCCTCTAATGTACCCATGTTGGTTGCCCCTAAGCATAATCTCCCCTGCTGTCCCCTCGTGGCCTATAGTTTCCTGGGTCCTCCTTCCTCCCCTTTTTGAAGATGGGAACCACACTGGCCCTCTTCCAGTCCTCTGGCACCACACCAGAGCACCATGAGTGCTCGTAAAGCCATGCCAGGGGTGTCGGGAGATCGGGAGATTTCCCACTTCCACCTCCCCACGGCAGGGTCGCTTACCGTTCACCAAGGGTCGGCTCACTGTGTGTTGGGCACATACACGCGCTTGCCTCTCCTGCCACGACTTTGATGATACTAGAGTTGGTTCAGATGGTCTGGCATGTGTCGTCCGGTTATGAGACCCCTCAGTGTCCGTGGGTCCCGCGTTGATGAGGGCTCCTCCACCCCTACACCCTCGCCCATTCCACCAGGTGGTGACTGCCTATCCGGTGCATCCACTCAGATTGTCCAGAAAGAAAACATATGGATTAACACAAAATACTATGGCCAGGGGTTCCATGTGTGAAGCGACAGCTTCAGTCTTCAGCCGACAACCTTCTGAGTTTCCTGTATGCTGTGGGGTCTAACCCCTCTCTACCTCCCGATGAGCTCTGCTAGGGACCTTGTCAGGTTCCTCAATTTTACAGTTAGGGCTCTCTGCGGCCGTTATGCCCCTATTGCAGGTGCTACGGTATTTACAGCAAACGAGTGCCCTTATAGTAGAGTCAATACGGTACCCAGCTCCCGCTGGGTTACGGCCGCTCCCAACCGGCAATATAACAGTTCAATCTTCCCCAGTCCGCCCGCTTGGGCTCTCCAGGCCCCGCTGGGGCTGACCCTTCTGCCAACAGGTCCTACCGCACTGGAGGGCCGCTCGCATCCGCTGCCATGAGCTCCGCTGGACTTCAGGCTCCTCACTGCCTGCTTCCAGTTCCATGTTCCCCCCTCTGGCCATCCCCGGCCTCTCTTTTATGCCGGCCCCGTGGGTACCAGCCCCTCCTCTCCCCGCACACCTGGGGAAGGTAAGTTCCCGCCCCGCAACTGAAACCGGCGGGCGGATGATTGGCGCGGAGCCCGCTGACTCTTCCTCTCCCTTACAAGGGGTCCCGCAATGACCTCAGCTAATTCCCTCAGCACTGTAGGGTGGAGATCATCCAGACCAGCTTATCTGAATACATCCAGTCCCTCCAGAAGTTCCCTAACTAGTTCCTCACTAACCCTTGGCCTAGGTGCGCCTCCCCTGGGGTTTAAGGGGGGCTCAGTGTGGGGGCTGTTCTGGTCCCTGCTCAGGAAAATGGAGTCAAAGAAGTCATGTCATTAAATAGGTTACCTTTGGTGTCTGGTGTGACGACCAAATTTTCTAGCATGTCTTGCAGGGGCCCCATGTTACCCGGAACCTTCTTTTTGCCTCCTGTGTATTTTAAAAAGGTTCTTTGGGTAAATGTGATATCTTTCATTAGACAAATTAAATAGTTGGAAAAATTGTTCTTTGCAAGCTTTCAGGCACAAAACCCTTCTTCAGGCACTGGAGAGAACCTCTTGTTGGTTTGGGTGCTCTCCTGAGAAGATAAGAAGCCAATCTGCAAAAATACAGGTTTGTGAAAATTCAAATGTGTGGTAGACAATAGGTTTGGGGAGGGGTGGGAGGTATGGGGGTTGTTGACCTAGTGAAGGAATGCAGCTAGTAAACTGTAGAGAGGTTACCTGAGGTTCTCAGATGGCAGTATAATATGCCATAAATCCATTGTCTATATTCATTCCATGATGTTTTGTATTCAGTAGATCCATAATGTGAAGTTTGTAGGCTTGTCTATGAAAGGTGTTTTGTAAATTCCCTTTGAGGATTAGAACTGAGAGATCGGAGAGAGAGTGGTTATCTTGTGAAGAGTGTGCATCCATTGCATCTGGATGCTTAAAACTTACCTATTGTGGTATATGTCAAAAAGGACACTTCTAAAATCAGTAGGACTACTGATTTGTAGGTGACAAGTGTGTCAGGTCTTGATATTTTTCAAGAAAGAATAAAATACACTAAAACTGAGTAATGCTTTCATACATCATTAAAAGAAGAATAAAACAACTCAATAAATGAACATATTGAAAGATATTAAGCAATCTAGGCATCTCTTCATCTCCTTGAAGTGAGGAGAGAATCTGAATATAGCTGGGCTACTTTAAATCTTGGCCATGCTGCATGGTGAGTTCAGTGGCATTTTAATCTGCTAATGGAATTTGTGTTGGCGTCAAAATATATCACAATATCTCATAAAGTTCCATATGAAGGGGCATGAACTTCCTGCTGTTCTTATGTCTGTGCTTTCTGTTCTGAGATGGACAATGTGAAATGTAGTAAAGATGAATGACTTCTTCAGGCACACTGAGGCATGTCCTCCCTCTTTTCCAAGTGCAGTTGTTGTAGGCTTACTGCCTACTGCATGAACCACTATTACAAACTGCAGCTTCTGCTTCAAGCTCCTGAATTCACCTCAGTAACGAGATAGTTATAAATGCAAATAATCCAAGTTTGCTCAATGGTTCAAATGAAGGTCTAAATTACTAGCAGAGATTGCATCTGAAAAAAGGGAAGGCTAAGCTGACATTGTACTTTCTGAAAATACCCATGCCACATAGGGATTAATGACTGCTATTTTGAACAACCTTTTGGTAATACCTTTATAGGACCAACTGAATAGTTTGGAGAGATGTTAGACAAGCTTTCAGGCACAAAGTGCCCTTCCTGAGGTCTAGGAGGAAAAAGCTTGTCTAACATCTCTTCTCAACTATTCAGTAGCTCCAGTAAAAGATAATACCAAAAAATCCTTGCTTCTCTCATTTCCTGGACCATCATAGCTACAACATGACTCCAACAATATTGTTTTTAAGAACAAACAGGATCATCTCATTGTTCTCTTGTGCTCTCCTTTCTTTCCTATATAGGTGTAGTTGTTGCCCCAATTCAGATATTTAGCCTGTAAGGTCTTTGAGGCAGAGGATTCTTTTTTTAAATCTATGTGTGTTCACTGCCTCACAAAATGTGACCCTGGCTGGGGCCTCTAAATGCTCTCACTATAAAACTAAATAATAATATATGAGGAATCTTTTTTTCCTCAGACAGACCTGGTATCTTCCTTCCTTTTTTGTATCCTTGTGTGACAAGGTATTTAGCAGAATTTGTAGATTCTTTGGAATCTAACTGGGTCACTCCATGAGCACTTCTGCTATGGCCTCAGACTTATGATCTGTCACTTTCGAGCCCACACCACCCCAGCCCCTGACCTGGTATCTTATTGTTTTATGTCCTGACAGTGATCAGTAAATAAATAGTCATATTCTTGATTCAATTAATAATGTGAGCCTTACCTTTCTGTTGCTTTAATTTCTAAACATCAAAGTCCAGATTATGGCTGGCTCCTAAATGGGTAAACAAGGGACGGGAATGATAAAAATCTTTTATTCCAGCCCCTGTTTGTGTAGGATTTTGTCACAATTGCATTTCCTGTAGCTGTCAAAAAGGACATGAAGGAGTTGGGGTATATAATAGGAGCCCCAGACTCCAGCATCTGTGGAAGACTGCTATAGAATTTGGGCATAATCTTTTGTAACCCTGATCCATGACATATGATTGAGACCTTAAAATGAAGCATTTCCTTATTAGCACTCCTTATGGATAGTCCCTTCCTTTATTATAAGGCCAAGTCAGGGAAAGAAAGAGCATGCTGCTGCTTTATATGTTGTACACAGAGTTTTCTCCCAGCACTTCCACTGGAAGTACATATCCACACTCCTCACACTTAAGAGTTGGTCAGAAATTTTCCAACAAAAAATGTCAATTTATTGTGCCCCAGATGTCTCAAAATTATCCAGTATCTTCCCAGAGAAGGATCATCACATCATATACACTTCTAGGACCCCCAGTTCAGGGGCAGACCCACCACACAGACTGGCCACGCATCCTGGGACTCCAGAATCCCCAGCATTTGGGAAGTCAACCAGGCCAGAGATTCCAGGCTCTCAGGGCTCAAACCAGAACCACAGACAGCTATTCAGTGTGAGTGGCATTTTTTACCACTAGCTGCAATTAAACTGTGAAGAACATCACTTCTCTGAGCAGTGTTAGGGACATGGGGACATTTCTCCTTTGGAGGAATTTTTTTTAAAGTTTTGCTCCAATCTGGAGTAAATGAAATAGAAGTTTTCTGTGAGCTGGAAATCCTACTTCTAACCCATTCTATTTCCAATCAAACTAATGCTTATAAGGCACAACCTGGGCCCAACAGGTGAACATGATATCTAAAAATAGGCTGTTTCTTATCCCTCTTACCCCAATGTATATCTATAGAAGTAACTTCATGGATGTTATGACTTCAGACATAATGTGATATAATAAGACAGTCAATACAAGATGCCAACTTAATTGACTGAAATGGAGAAGAGTGCTTTTATGCCAGCTATGAGAATTTAATGTATGGATTATAGGGACGTAATAGAAGGAAGAATAATGGAACAAGAGAGAACAAGTGGATAAAAAAAATATTATCAAAGTAGGCTAAATAGTTGATGGCTTTACCACATGCTTGTAGACTTATGACCAAAGAGTGAAAGCTTTTAGGACTGTTTTAGGAAAGTTTTTAGGGTATTTCTCAGACTGAATAAATAACTATTGACAGAAAAAGATGTCCTTTACTTCAGAAGGAATCTGAAATATAAAGTGAACCTTATGACACACAATTCCCATGCATGCTTCAGTACAACAGTTGTGCAGGACTAACTAAGTGCAGTGTATCTGGTGTAAAATAAAAATAAAAATACATAACCTTGGATTTTCCCACAGGTGAGCAGGTGCTGTAGAGTTCCTGAGGCTTACAAGGCTGCAGCAGATGGTCTATAGCTACCATCATTAGATTTTTAGATGATCAGAATCTCTAGCCTTTTGTTGTATAAAACATGAAGACTGACCTGGAAGTAAAAAAGGAAACATGTTACCAAACTTACCAATGGATAGAACTACGGAGCACTCCCTCAGATGAAAAGAACAGCAGGCAAAATGTTCACCAGATGCAAAGCTCAGAGGGAAGTTTTATAAGTTTCTCTCATCTCTCAGCAAGTAGTAGCATCAATCTTTGTTCCATAAATTTCAATATTATTGCATAGCCAATTTCGAGGGACAGTCCAAGACTAGGTCATTTTGAGCTAGCATAAAGCCAGGTAACCCCACCGGGGTCTCCTGGGGCATTTCAGAAAGTAAGAATTGTGATTGTGCTTACTGTATCTCCCCCATCCAGGGCTAGGGACAGAAGTTACACATAAACCAGTGTAAGTTATTAGAAACTGGTTTAAACCTGTAACAGAAGTTCACTGCACCTAAATCACTTTCAAAATGTCTGAAACTGATTTAAGATAAACCTGGCTGAATTTAGTATCAGACTTAACTGATGTGCGTCAAACCAGCTTATGAAACTTTTGGTTTAGACCCCTTCCTGGTTCAAGTTAAATCACAGTCCCCCAGCATCCCAGAATGCTTTACAGCCCTGAGCTGGGCTATGTTGTCTGCCCCACCCCTCTGCTCTCTAGCTGGAGCAATGAGGGATGGCTGACAAGTGGGTGGAGTTGGGAAACCCAGTTGGGGACCGCGGCCCCAGTAGGGGGGGAAGCCCCTGTCAGACTTTTCCCCACTGGAGTGGAGGGGGCAACAGCCTGAGAAGGACTGCCCCCCAAGCAAACTCCAGCGGGTGTCTGAGGTTTGAGAGGGGCTTTAATCTCCCACTTCCTCAGCTCTGTGCTGGCCATGCCCTCTGCTTTCTGCTTGATCAGGGTGCAGGGCATGGGCAGGCAACAGCCTGAGAGGTACTGCCCCAGTGGCAAACCACAGCTGGGGTCTGGAGTCTTGAAGGGACTTTAATCCCCCTTCCCCAGCTCAGTGTGCTGGCTATGCTCCCTGTGCTCTGCTTGAGAGATGGGACCTGTGGGATCTTCACTCCAACACCTAAGACCACCTGCTGATTCCCCAAGAAGTACTTTCTAAATACCTGGCTGTAAGGGGATACTACCCTCAGGATTACATAAGACTTATGCAAGACCTTTTCTTGTCTTTTTGGTTCACATTTTAAGTTATACTAAGTTGTGTGTGCTCTCACTGTATTTTACTAGGCTATATCTTAGCGTAGGCAAAGGTTTTTGGTTGTTCTTTATTGTGTGCTTGAGGTTGCAAATTGATGTGTTTAATACATGCTCACTTCAGAGAAAGGACTATTCTTGTTCAAGCTTTTATGAATTCAATGCCACTACCTTTCTACTCACCCACTCTCTCCCCAGTCTGGCAGCTTCGAGCAGGGAGGGAGGGAGGGGGTAGAAGTCTGGCAGACCCAGGCTAGGGACCCCTGGGGCCAGGGAGGAGATTTAAACTCCCACCCTCCAGTGTGCTAGCTCAGGGGTGGGGCCTGGCCATGCCCTTCCACTGGAGCAGGGACCCAGGGACCCAGGGGGTGGGAGGGAAGCCTTGGAGTTTCAACCCCTTCCCTTTGCCAGTGGCTGGTAGGCTGGAAGGCATGCCCTAGTGTCCCCCGGCTTCTGGCTTGAGCCACTGCAGGCATGTGACAGCATTTCCTGAATCAAAAGTGAATGTCTGTTCATTTGCTTCTTGGTTTAATTTCTGAAGCTTAGACTAACCTGGAAAGACTGAATTGATTCAGCCTTGGGCTTGTTGACTGTCTGTGCTTAGCCCAAATACATGCAGAAGTCAGGCATAATCTATTGTGCTGAATGTTGCTCTCAGATAAGCCATTACAAGCCCAGGGAAGACAATGGACTTATCTTGATATAAATAAGAGCAGGCTGTATTATATAAGAGAACAATACATGTGTTTCTAATAGGTGTTTAAAAAGCACATTTTATATGGAAATGCAACCCAAAAAGAAAAGAGAAAGAGGTACATTATGCAGAGGTAATTAAAGAGAAAAGAGTGGGGTAGAAGGGGAGCATAAGAAGGTGAAATGGAGAAAGGGGAATATGAGAATCTACATTCTCCTTCACATACACATTTTTAATAAGGTGTCAGTTTTCTTTTTAACTTGCGGTATGTGATCTAGCAGCTCAGTTCAGCAACATACTAACTGCTCCCAGTTCTCTTCTCCTGGTACCTTTTGATTGGGTAAATTCTTTTGAAAACCAGCTTTACAAAGAGCATACCATGTCGGTTAAGTTTGCCAGTGACAGTCTGTAGACTGACTAGTCAGCTGGCTGAAGCAGTTGGTCCATAATTGTAAACAACCTCTCCCTTAAAACTGGTGTTTTGAATTGCCATATAAATTCATCAGCTTCTAAAGATAGATGTGACAGAGTGACAATTATCAGGGTGGGCAGGCCAATTACTCAGTTATATGAGGAACTCAGCCTTCTGTGCAATGTCAAAATTTGACGGGAATATGTTTGGCCAACAATCAATGGTAGACTGTGACTAGGATGCTTATGAGGGAAACTATGATCTTTTCAGCCTTCATTTGACCTCTGTTCAGTTTTTTTTCCCTTCTAATATTGTAATGGTGCTTTAAGATCCATCACTGATTTAGACACAGTCAACTTTGGACAAGGTCCACATTTAATCTTCTGCATGTGTTTAAAAAAAATAAGACTGAAACAGAACAAAAAAGAGATCTTCTGAGAATGGGTGAGTATGTGGATTAGAAAGAAAATAGAAAATAACTAGAACTTTAACCCCCGAAAAACTTATTAGGAGGTGAAAATTAACTTTTTTA